GAACCTCTCCCACCCACCCCTGTAATAGACTCTTAGCCTCTAGCTGAGTTGCTGAAATGTTCAAATAATGGTTTAAAGAGTTCAAGTTATAGAGAATTCACCATTTACATTAGTTTAAACCTGCAAGTGAGTGCCCCATGCTGCAGAAGAAAGTGAAAAAAAAAAAAACAACCCCAGGGTCTCTGCCAATCTGACATGGGGGGAAAATTCCTTCATATCCGTAAATATTGTGAACAATTAGATTTGAGCATGTGGACAAGACCCACCAGGCAGGCACCTGGGAAAGAATTCTCTGTAGTAACTCAGAGTCCTCCCCATCTAGTGTCTCCTCTCCAGCTGCTTCGTTATGTTCATGAACATTCTTCTAATTTAATTGTGAAAATGTTTGCCAAAACCAGCACATTTTAAGCAAATGTTGATGAATATTTGCCGAAACCCCAAATTTTAAATAAATGCATACCAATATTCACTCTAGAAATTGGTTCTAAGACAGGCATGTTCATCCAATTGGGGTACAGAAGCAATATCGTGTATCTGTGTGTCTAATAAAAGATATTCAGCCCAGCTTAAACAGGTTTTTTTGTTTTACACCTGGCTTGAAAGCTGTCAACCGAAATTATTCCATTGATGGCAACCAATTCACAACCAATATCTGAGAATCAATTGACTCATGAACAAGTGGAAGCAAATCATAACTCACTTGCAGACAACCTGCAAGAGGAAAAGTGATTTATTTGAAAGTATTTACCCAGCTCTGATAAGTGCAATATCATTATTTCCATTTTACATGTGGAAAACTGTTGCACAGTGAGGTTAATTGATTGGCCCAAGGCCACAGACTTGAATGTTGTGAGAGAAGGCATTGTCACTTACTGTGCCACTCAACTTGATTACTGCACTTCAAGCCTGACTTCATATCTTTACTTGTCCGCTGCTAATTTTTTTTCCCTCTGCTGGCTTCCAGAGCCGTGTGCTGGTTTATCATGTGTTTAAAAGGAACTAAGCTGCCATTACACTACCTTCTTGCAGAAGCAATTCAGCATTTGAATCTAGGGCCACGTCTTCACTAGGGAGAAGATTGACGCTGCTGCGATTGATCTTCTAGAGTTCGATTTAGTGGATCTAGTGAAGACCTGCTAAATCAAATTCAGAAGGCTCCCCTGTCGCCAGTCGATACTTCTGCTCCTGCAATGAGTAAGGGAAGCTGATGGGAGCATTTGCTCTCATTGGTCTCCTGCTGTAGGGACAGCGGGGAAACTCGAATCAAGATACATCAAGTCCAGCTACGTAATTAACATAGCAGAAGTTGCGCATCTTAATTTGAACTTCTCCTTTAATATAGACCTGGCCAGTCTCCAGATCTGGAAGCTGCTATGCCACATCAGTGAAGAGCAAGCCTGCTACTGATGTATATTACATATTACCATGATGTCCTCCTCAGGTTTTTTCCCCAACTTTTTAGTGATTGAGTTAAATTAGAAAACTATGAGACAAAAGGTATGTTTTGCTGCACTGGTCAGTTAGAACGCACACAGTGCTGCATTCCCTGTCATGTAATAAATTAATGCCCCTGCACTTTCATGTTTGGAATAACACTACACTGACATCCCACAGCACATAGATATATATACTAAACAATGATGATTAAAGCTGCTTAAACATGTATTTAATCTGTAATCTCTGAAGATGCATATTAGGAGATAAAACCACCTCTTCAGCCCTATAGCTGATGTCATTTTAATTCTAAGCAGAAGATGATTTGAAATACAAGGTATTTGGACTTCAGCTGCACTTGTCTCCCAGTAGGGATAGCTTGCATCTCCTCAGAGATAAGAGAAGTTTGAATAATTGCACTGGAAGTAGCGGACGTTAGAATGCCAGAAACTACTTCACCAAAAAATGGGCTGTTTGATCTGAAATTGGAAGTTAGATATTATACTCTGCCTTCCTTTCAACATTCATCTCTCAGCCCTTTTAGTGGAAGAAAGAGTGCTAGTTTGCTTCCGACATAATTCCCTCTCTACAAACTAGTCTGAGGAGTGTTTGAAAAGAAAACATTTACTGGACACACTGTGACATACTCTTTTAAACTCTAATTGGCTACAGATTAATTCCCACCCCTCTAAAAATTCCTTTCTAGAAGACAAGACCCTGAAAAGTTTTCAGATATGTAAATCCCTGCATGGATGCAAAATCTGTATCCACATCTGCATCCATATGTGCAAAAATTTGCTGCAGATATCTGCATCCACATAACGGGGTTGTGGATACCTGTGGCTATAAAATAGTTATCCGAGGATTTGCAGGGTCCTACGGATACAAGATTGGCATCAACAGAAAAGCTACAGAGGCTGATTTCTCTCTTCTTCCCATTCATACCCAGTTTTCTTACATTTCCAAGACTATTGCTCCAGTGCATGAATTAAAAATACTTCCAAAAAGTTAAAGTAAAATGTGCATAAGAAGATGGAACACTGATTAAACTGTGTTATCCTTCATTCTGTTCCATACACTACACAGTGTTAGATCTTCAGCTTCTGTAAACTGGCCTAGCTCCTTCGAAGTCAAAGACGCTACTCCGATTTTTTCCAGGTGACAATTTGGATAATATACAATATTGCACCTTGGGCTTAAATATCATCTTTTTGCCTTGCAAGTTAGTTCATTTCAAATTTTTTCATTGTGACATGAGCCACAACTTTGTGAAATTACCTTCTGTTGCCATAGGGAGGAAATAACAATGATATCAGAAGATAAATACAATTTGACGATTGGGAGAAAGGAAATGCTTCCTTGATAGCATAACAAGTTGCGAGCAGGCACAAGAGAAATGATATAGAACTCAAAAGTCAGAGTAAAAGGGTGGGATTGTGTTTATGACTGTAAAGTGCTGTAAAGTGAAAATAGTAACATACAGGACACATGAGGCCAAGTTCTCATTCAGTGGAATTATGCCAGTTTATGCTAATTGAGGGGATGGCCCCAATTAAAATGATAGCAATAAACACCGGGGATATTACTAAAATGGGGAACTAGCCTTATTTCACCCTGAATTTACAGAGAGCTGAGTTCCCAGTCTCTACTTTGGAAACTATTTCTGTCACTTGTTGAAGTTTGGCAGCAGCAGATATTGGACTTTATTTTGAAATCACTAACACCTGCATTTGCGTGGGTGTAATTCCATCAGCTTCAGTAGTGTTACTCCTCATTTACACCAGTGCAAGTTCAGAATCAAGCACCATGACAGATCAGAAAAGACCTTTGCTTCTTGTATGCACAAACATTAAACAGGATGGATGGACGCTTTTGTTCCCAGAAGTAATCTGACTTCTGGATAAATTGCACTGGGGAAGCAGGAAAGTGATGGGTTTGTCAATTATTCTCCTCCCACCTCACTCCCTCTTTGGCCAGCCAGCAGCCTGCAATAAAAGTAAAGCACCTGTTCCTCTGGAGCAACACAACTCTTCAGAGGCCATCTCACCAGACTCACTCTCCGTCATACGAGTGCAAAAGGTGATTAGAACTGAGCCTTGCACAGAACAGACTACAAAGTTTTGCTGGTTTTTAATATCAGCTAGAGCAGTAGTTCTCTGCCAGGGGTCCTGTATCCCTGGGGGTCTGTAGAGACCTTGCATAGGGTACGCATCACATCTAGATCAGCGTGACCTAGGAGGGGTCGTGATTCTTGGGAGTGTCATAGAATGGGCTTAAGGGGATCTCAAGTGCAAGGCCAGCTTTATGGGGTGGCAACCATGGCAACTACCTAGGTTCCCACCCCACAAGGGGCCATGCCAAGCTAAGTTAAATGCTTCAGACTAGGCTCACGAGTGAAAAACAGGCTCAAGTTTCACACTGCAGTGTAAGTACAATATTTATATGGGGGGGAGGGGGAATAAGAATATCAGCAATCGTCCAGTAATAGCAAATGGTGACACACTTGTGTTTCTATGTCTGATTTTCATAGACTCATAGAATGCTCAGGCTATGTCTAGACTGCAAAGAAAAGTTGGGAAAAAATACACAAATTGTGAGCTGCAATTTGCGTATCTTTTTCCACTTTTTTTTTTTCCGGAAGAGGCTTTTCCAAAATTTGGCCCATCTACACAGGGCCAAATTTTAAAAAAAACTCCTCTTTGGGAACATCCCTTCTTCCTCATACAATACCTTCAGTATCCTGGAAAAGCTCAGCAGCGTAGACATAGCCTCAAAGTGGAAAGGACCTCGAAAGGTCATCAAGTCCAGTCCTCTGCCCTCTGGACAGGACCCAGCACCATCTAGATCAGTGTTTCTCAACCAGTGGTACAGTACCCTCGGGGTACTGTAGAGAGGTCTGGGGGCGGGGGGAGAGGGGATATGTCAACACAACTGAAATTTGGAGAAAAAGGAATTTTTGTTTTAAATTTTACAGCATTTTATTATTGTACTTTTTACACCCAAAAATTTCATCACCCGCCTGGCTACGATTAAGTTGTTTAAACAAAGGTGTTGCAATGGTAGAAAAAAATGTGTATGGCTGACAACTGTAGGTACTGGGGGTACTTACAATTATTGTTTGAAAAAGGAGGTACTTTATTAAAAAAAAAAAAGATTGAGAAACACTAGTCTAGATCATCCCTGATAGATGTCTGTCCAATCTGCAAGTATTTTTGTAAGCAAGTAGTTTTTAAGTGGGGTGAAGCTTGGGGAGAGGGGGTGAGGCAAGACAAATCAGAGTCCTAGAAGGGGGACAGTTGTCTGGAAAGACTGAGAACCACTGAGCTGGAGCGCTGCCTTTCAACACCACCAGATCTATGGGTCAGCGAGTGACCGGGCTCTGTAGTACTGGTGTCAAGTGTTGTTCTCTAGGAAAGCCAGCAGCTGCTAGATTAAAAACCAACCAACAAAACAAAAACAAAAAAACCACCTCCATCAATCAAAGCACTTTCCTGCTCCCTGGTCTCCAGCGTGTCTCCAGGAACTCGCCCCCCCGCAGGAATACGAAGGAAAGCCGGGAAACTCACCTGGATGACCGTCTTAAGCGAGGACGTGTCCACGATGGTGGTACAGATGAGAGAGTCGGGCTGCAGGTCCCTGCGGTAGATCTCCCCCATGGTGAAGATCATGGGAATGGCCAGCAGGAGAGAGGCCACCCAGATGCCGCTGATGAACTTCTTGGTCCTGCTGCGGGACATGATGCTCTTGGCTTTGAAGGGGTGGCAGATGGCCATGTACCGCTCCACGCTCAGGCTGGCGATGTTGAGGGCGGTGGCGTAGGTGCAGGCGTCCCTCAGGAAGTAGTAGCCCTTGCAGACGGCGTCCCCGAAGGCCCAGGGGTGGTGCACCCAGATGAAGTTGTACAGCTCGATGGGCATGCAGAGCAGGAAGATGAGCAGGTCGGAGAAGGCCAGGCTGGCCAGGTGGTAGTGCACCGTGCTCTGCAGGTTCTGCAGGGACTTCTTGCGCACCAGCGTGTAGGCGGTGATGGAGTTGCCCACGGTGCCCACCAGGAAGAGGGCCAGGTAGATGACCGTGACCATGACTTTGGAGTAGATGTCGGTGTTCACGTCCAGGTCTTCCTCGTCCGGCTCCTTGGAGGGCAGGTCCGAGCCGTTGGAGACGTTCCCGGCCGCCTCCCCGCC